AACATATCAATGATACAATAAACTATTATATTTACAAAAATAAACATTACAAACTTACAAGTTTGGTTGGATTAGAGTTTGTAAGTGTTGTACCTCCAACGACGATTTGTTGTCTTCGGAACAATTCAACAAATTACTTATAATTGGAAAAAATGATGACAAAGAAATTAGGCACTCCAAAATGAGTTTCATGGTTATAGTTGACCTTTCTATGCAAAACGTTTACCTGAAGTACCCACTTATTTTGCTTTTGGTACCAGTTCTGTTCCTGCACAATGACTTAGTAAATATGCTTCCTTTGCCACATATTTTTTCATAAATTGTATAAAAAGCGGTTCCTCCGACGACATTCCGACGACAATGGGTGGGTGGAAGGAAGCACAGGTTTCGCGTACGCACGGCAGCACTACGGCGACACTTCAGCAACAATGAGTGGCTGGGGGGAAGGAAGACGAGACCGTCTAGGTTTTGCGTACGAACAGCGGCACTGTGGCGACACTAAGTGGCTGGGTGGAGGGAAGACGAGTCTCTCTCTCTAGTTTTCGCGCTCAGAGGTTCTCTCTCAAATGTTCGTCAGATTGCAAATCTAAAAATGAGAAAACGAAGCCAAAATTTGAAACCTGTCCTCAATTCTCATTGTCACGTCATTCTCATATTAAAAATTCATTTTCCACGTGTACCACTCACATTTTGACACGTGTCCCTATCAAAATATTGTCAAATTTTGTTGTTAAAATATCATTTTCCAAAATTATTTTAAACTTTTCGAGCAGAAAATTTATAAGAAAAAGATAGAAATGATAATCCATTTTATATATATATATATACACACACACACGTGTGTGTGTGAGTTTGTTAATTTACATAGTATACCAAATTTTAATTGATAAAAAAATCTTTATTTATAAAAAAAATATTTTAAATATAAAGTATTTTAATAAATTTTTAATTTTTTTAAAAAAAATATTTTAAATAAAGATATTTTAATAATTTTTATTTTTAATTTAAAATAAAAAAAATAAAATTAAAGATTATGCAAATAATCTTAATTTTAAAACTTAAAAGTCATTGAAAATATTTTTGTCATTGTTATTTAAATTAGAAAACCATACATACATATATATATATATATATATATATATATACGAATTACTCAATGAAGTGCGAATATTGTTGTTGGTGTACTCCTTTCACCAACTCTTCTTAAACCACTTTCTAGCCACCGAATCAACTCTCCGAGCATATAAATCTTTATCTTAATCCTTCCACTACCTTGACATCTTTAAACACTCACTTCTCTTGAGTTCTTTGTCTCCCATCAAAGAGTGGTGGTGACTAGGCTTTCTCCTTTGCTTCTCCCTTTCTCTCATTCTTTCAATGAAGCACTTGGAGCAACTTCAAGGAAGGGAGAATTTGGGCAACTTGTGGTGCTCAACCTTGTTGTCTCATTGTGACACCATTATTCCTTCAATATGAGGGTTTACAAGATGCCTCGGAGGCTACAGTCCTCCTTGTATGAACATCCCCCTGCATACACTTTGACACAACTCGGCTAAAGCCACAAATTAGCCCAAGTAAAACTGAAAATCTATTTATGAGAAAAGAGTAAAGAATGTACAAAAGAATAAAGTTTAAATAAGTTATCAATTGCACAATAGTCTAGTATAGACCACGAGTCCCCGGCAACGGCGCCAAAAACTTGTTAAGATGGTTCGACAAGTGCACCGAATCGTTTCAAGTAATAAAATCATGGTAAGACCAGATATTGTTTTCCTAAGAGACTCGTAATACTAGAGAATTGTGCGATTAACAACTCATCTAGACTCAATAGAACAACATTCATTTACAAGCATGTGCAAGAAAGATAAATTTACACATAATTACATGGTTGGACTTTGGTGTTGAAGACACTTAGAAATGGAATATACTAGAAATGATATGAAATGACATTGTTAAGGTTAGGTTTCACCAATTTACTCTTGTGCATACAAAATTTCATCTCCTCTCCATTAATTAACTAAAGTCAATCCCACATGCTCCACGCAGCCTCCAAGAGCTCCAAATAGTGAAATCGTGCCTCCAAACCACCAAAGACCCTAACCGCTTCACGTTTTAGGTTTAAATAGAACAGATCTGCCACATCAGCGAAGGTCACGCTCAGCCCCCCTCTTGAGGCGCCCGGGCGCGAGAGGTGCGCGAAGACTGGTGCTGAGCCCCCTTCCTAGGGTGCCTGGGGAGAAATTCTGACAGTAAAATGGCGCTCAGCGCCCTTTGCTAAGGGGCGCTCAACGCGAGCACACCAAAGATCAGCTTTCGACAGTTTGTGCAGGTGGTGCTTAGCCCCCCTGAACCAGGGGGGCTCAACCTGATTTTTCTGCACTGCATCTTTTTCTCTTTTTCCGCAAATCTGCTTACTTCTTGTGGTTGGTTCAACTCTATACATTGTTGGAGATTCTTCCAAGCACATTATTAGCTACAAAATAAGGGATTAGAGATGAAATTACATCAAAGTAGGCCAAAACACAATTATTCATAAAACTAAGATAAAAGAGAGGATTAAGCAAGTTATAAGCTAAAGGGGAGCTGATTTTGTCTCTAAAATGAACCTCAAATAATGGTAAGAATTACCGTTATCAGCTCTCAGGTGCCATACCTGAACTTGAAACTCTTCTTCAATGACCTTGGACACTTTCCATAAATCTTCAATTGATTTCTAAGACCTTCTAGACATTGTGAAACATTTGCAAACACATTTCTAGCTCATAATAGCTACCTCAAACCCATTTGATCACTATAAACTACCCAAACTCACTTATACTCCTTCTACTCCAAAACTTTAAAGACTAGGGGTCTAAATCAGTTTGAATAAGCACAACAACTCACCCAAACCATCTAATTCAACACCAAACAAACATTTTTATTAATATATCGTCATATATACACCCACATACATACAAACAATCACAATTTCATACATTATAGTTCAATTAAAATGCAAACACTAGATTCACTTACCTTACACCGAAGCTATAGAGATTTAAGAATGCACACCCTTTGCTTCTCACATAAGGAATTCTAGAAACACCTACAAAACACTAAATTGTGATAGGAAAGAGTCCTTGAGATATGAGATTAACCAAGAATCAGGAAAAGAGGTCATGAAACACAAAAAAGCGAAACTTACTTGCTCAAAACTAGAAACTGATCGGATAAAAACATAGACCTCATTGATATGGTCGATTAGACACCTCCTAATTGTCAAAGATGACTCAAGAGTTAAAAAATTAGAGAGAAAGTAGGCAACTGAAGAGAATGAATTTTAGAGATAAGACAAATGTTTTAGATAATCAGACTAGTTTAAAAAATTCTATTACATTATCAAATAATACTCGATTTCATTATTTTAAAACAACTTTCATATTTAATATTTTATTTTTTCTGTTTCTCTATTTTGGAAACATGAAGTAGTTAAATCCAATCTATCCCACTTGTTATTATAAATATAAGTTAATAGAATATAATGAAAACAAAGTTTAAAATAGTTAAAGTTTTTATAATTTTCTTAATATTTGATAATGAACTATAATAATATGAAATAAGGGTGTAATTTAAACTTATACAATACTAATTATATTAAAATAAAAAACACAGTGATGAAGTATTAAATTTAAATTTTGTTTTTAAAATCTTTTAGACACTTCTCACACAATATATATAGAATATATTCTGACAATAACGTTATATATTAAATAAGACAATTACGAGACCTCGTAAAGTACAATAACTGAAAGTTTATAACTTAATAGTTATAAAAATATGTCAATAACAAAGGTCAATAAAAGTTATAACATATTTTAATTTAATATACATATTTTTAAAGCATATTGGTAGAATAGTCTTAAGATATAAAATAGATGTTATATCTGTTATGTGTTATGTTTATTTTATATCTGAAATGAATCTAATTTGACATGAGTTTATCAAAATATTTTCAGACTTTAAGTAAAAGAACATAAAATGTTTAATATATATATATATATATATATATATATATATATATATATTGTGTGTGTGTGTGGGTGTGTGTATTATATGTGATTACTATACTTTATTATAATAAATAATTATTTTAGTTTTAAAATATAGTTATATTTAAAAAAATGTTCAAATAAAAAATAATCAATTTAAAAAAAATCAAAGATTTAATTGATAAAGTAGTTATTTTAATTAAAGTTTTTTGAAAGTGTAAAATGGGAACAAATTATGTATTTTTATATAATGGTATAGAATATCCTAATTAATTAGAGCTTTTATTATACAAATTTTGTACAAAATTAAAATGAAAGTGGGTCCTTCCAAGTTGTTCAATTTTTCTTTCCATTTAAAACTGTTCATTCATCAATTGTTTAGTTTTCTTAAGTCATTTTAATATGAGACATTATATCTATCATAAATATCATAAATTAATAACATTTAATATGTGTGATGTAAATTTAGGACCATTAAACTATTTTTACAACTATCATCAGAAAAATAAAATACTAGATTAACCAAATACATAAAGCAAAATTAGTATTTGTTTTTATTTAAAACATGCAATAGTCTCTCTTAATATGATCAAAAGGGTAAATGTAGGTTGAATTTTTCAAAAGTAAGTTTAGATTCTATCTATACCTAATAAAATGGATTGAATGTATATAATTGATATCCATTTTAATTAACTAGATAAATTAGGTTAGGATTTTTTTCAAAAAAATTAAAATTGAATTAAATTTAAATTTAAATTATTTTGATGATTAAAATGTCCATTGAATATGGATTGGGCTAGGAAACTATTACAGTGGGTCACTTAATTAACATCCACCTCTGAAGCCCACCTTGATCTGAACCGTTTGTAAAAGTGCAATCCAACGGTAGGAATCATCGATCCGTGTCTTTCAATGTCATTGGCCGAATTTACAGGCAACCTACTATATAAACATCTGAACTTCATTTTCAAATGCACTCTTTCCTCCTGTTACCTGACTCAGTGGAACTTGCTTGCAAGGAGACTTCTAGCATCCCAAACATTTTTGTTCAGGCAACTAAGTAACGGTTCATCAATGGCAGGACGAGGCAAAACCTTAGGATCCAGCGCTGCTAAGAAGGCCACCTCCAGGAGCAGTAAAGCTGGTCTCCAATTTCCAGTCGGCCGTATAGCCAGATTCCTCAAGGCTGGAAAGTATGCCGAGCGTGTTGGCGCCGGTGCTCCTGTCTATCTCGCCGCTGTCCTTGAGTATCTTGCTGCTGAGGTAATTCCTAGTGTTATTCGGATTCTCTATATAGATTATTGCTTGATGTGGTTAGATCTAGGGTTTGAAATTTGATGAGGTTCGTTTCTTCTATTTTAGGGAATAACCATATAATTATCAACAATTGGATGATTTCAAATTCCTTTTCATTATGGCTTCAATTAATAATTTGGAGTTTGATGTTTTCAGGTTCTTGAGTTGGCTGGAAATGCCGCTAGAGATAACAAGAAGACGAGGATTGTCCCTCGCCACATTCAATTGGCGGTGAGGAATGATGAAGAGTTGAGCAAGCTTCTAGGTGACGTTACCATTGCAAACGGTGGTGTTATGCCTAACATTCACAATCTTCTGCTTCCCAAGAAAGCCGGAGCTTCATCCAAAAGTAGCGCAGCTGACGATGACTCTTAAATCTGGCTTCGTTTTTAGAAAACCTTATTTAATTTTATTGGCTCTCGGTTCTCTGCTTCGTAGGATTTTGATCTTCCGTGATTTGTAATTGTAGTTAGTGGCTCTGTTAGGGATGTTGTTTATAGAAAACGGTCTCACGCTAGAAGAAATATTGATGAAATTGTGGGTTATTTTCATGTTTCACGGTGAAGTCTTGTTATTAAGTTTTTAACATAATTGTTATTCATAAAACTCGATTTCATCTAGCGACTTATACATCGCTTCTTGGAGTTTGATGAATTTGTTTGTTAATATTTTATATTCTGTCTGCGCACTATTAAGCGAGATCACCCTTCGATTGCTTTTATACACATAGTTTCAGACACAAACTGATGCTTTTGTGGCGGATGAAAGGGTTTTGAAATATTCCAACATGTAGGTTTTGAAAGATAAAGAACATGCTTTTTGGTTTTGAAAGATAAATGACATGTTTTGGAGATTTGATATGCCGATTGAAATGTTCTACTTTTAGTTTTAAAATATGGAATATTGTTTGTTGGAAATTGTTACACAGTGACACTGTTTCCAAGGATGAATAATAGTTGTAGGTTTCTGAGTATTCGACTCTTGAATCTGAGTAAGTTTTAAAATTGTTTGGAGTTTAATAAGTGATTGAAACTAATTCCTGAGGTTACGAGGGAAGGAAAATGGAATTCCTATTGCGTGATTTCCTTAGAAAAGGATTTGTTAACATCTTCGCGGGAAAGGAAAGGATTATGGCGGGAAGTTTGTGGCCATAATTCCCAGAGGCAAATTACTTCAATAGATGAATCAATAAGCAGAAGGTTATATGTAATTTTTCTAGAAAATTAAAATTTTTGCAAAAGTAATGAATTCTAAATAACGTTATTAATTTAAAATTATTATATAGAAAATGTACAGTGTTATTGTATTAATGCCTTTAAAATGACATTGAAGTATCCCAGCAAAGAAGGCCACAGAAATAAAGTGAAAATTGAATTTTCAAATTAAGAGAGAAAATAAAGAATGAAGGAGAATACAATGTTTTTGATGAAAATTTGCTACAGATTTAATTGAGATAACTCCTTTAAAAAATTTATTAACTAATCAAATTACTTTCAATTTTTTTATTTTAATTATTATTATTTTTTATATTTATTTAATTATTATATATATATAATTATTAATTTATAAGTTATTTTATTATTAATCTTTCTATATTAATAATATTACTATTATATAAATTTATTATATTATATTATATAATATAATCAATTATATTATTGATTATGTTTAGGTATATAGAGTGAATATAATCGATTATATCATAATCTATTACAAGTAAAATTATCAAATATTACTTCTCTTTGATACTTCTTTTTGTTCTTATTAGTGAGGATGTGCTAGATAACTTCTAGCAAATTCTGGCAGAATATTTTTTCATATCATTATAAACTAATACCATCTTTTTTACACTTTCTTCTCTGTCCCTATAGTACTCATTTTAATATCAACATAATAAAGGATAGTTTTGTAATTGTATACAAGTTGTTGATTTTTTATTTTTCTTTTCTACTACCTTCAAACTTAATTTGTTTAAATACAGCAATTGAAACATAGAAAAGGAGAATACATATTTCTATTTCAAGTAGAGGAGAACGAATACATGGTGAATACTTTTATTTCTGTTTTAACTGGAAAATAAATATTTTAAACTTACTTAATTATAAAATAAATATTAATTATGAGTCATTTTAGACTATCCATTCTAAAATTTTTCAATTTGAATGAAAGAAAGTGAAATCAACAATTAAATAATCTAATGCAAAATAATAAAATCCAATTAAATAATACATTTAAAAGTAAAATATTTTTATACTTTTTTTTAACAAGAATCTAAAATTTTTAAATACATAAAAATATAGTTACATATTAAGAGTTTTTAAGTTCAGAACCTTTAATTAGTTGAAATGAAATACTTTAAACTCTGACGAAAAAATAAATTAAGTGCAACAGGAAAAACTCATACTCTTAATCTTAACATTTTAAGTAATTAAAGTGACAAAAAAAATGTAAATTTAAGAAAGGGAAGTGTAAGAAAAATAATAATTTAATAAACTAATAAGAAAATATTTCAATTAATTGAAGCACAAATATAAAGTAGAGAAATCTAAATAATAAATATTTGATATAAATTAATGAATAAGGATGGTAAGTTATATCCATAATTTCTTCTTTAACGAGTGATTGTTCATTTCATATCTTCAAAATCAATTTTTGTTTGTCAATGATGATCATTGAGTATCTGATAAAGGTCTTATAATGACAAACTTAATTTGAAAGCAAAGGTAATAAATATTTAATTAATGAATCACCTACTATTTTATTTTTTGACCTCTATTTATACTTTTTAATGGGTTCTTTATTAATGACGACTTAATTACGATTCAAATATAACTAATAATGATTAAGCCGTTAACCAGCATAGTTTTATGAGTTAATCCGCTTTACCTTGACTAGTTGGTTATTATGACACTAATGCACTTTTGACTGTCTAGTCTGGTGGAAATCCAATTGATTTTGTCTAACTACTAGTTGACTCGACGAGATATACTATACATAGGCTCCTAAGCTCGAGCCTCATATAAGTTGTGAAGGAGTTTGTACTTTGACTACTCAATATTATGTGACGTCTTTTGCGTTTGCTACTTGTGATTAATTATGACGTATAACTATGTTTTCAACAAAGAGGCTTTTTAATTCTTCTTGGTACTTGTGTTACATCCCATTCATTTTATAATGAGTTTTTTTATTAAGTTGACCTAATTAGGGTCCAAACATGACTAATCACGAGTCGTTAACCACAATAATTTTATGAGTTAATCCACTTAGTCTTGACCATTCAATTGTTATGACAATAATGTATTTTTAATCTAGTGTGAGCAATTCCAATTATTTTATAGATTGACAACCCATTGTATAGCAGTTGACCATAGAAATATTGTATAAAGAGAATATATTTTTTTATTTACTAATTTATCCCATTTTGAAGTTATAAATTTATGTACGTTTTATGCTTTACCCTTTATCTAAAAAGTCGTTCTATTTAATTTCTATTTTTAAACTAAACTCAAAGATTATATTTTTAAATACAGAATTATGTTGATACGTCATATATATTTTTAATTGTTAAATATACTCTTCTTATATATTTTTTATATATTTTCTATCATTTACTTATTAATAAATATATTTTTCTTCTTATTTTCTCAAGAACTAACTCATTTCTTAATTTTGTATAATTTCATCATACTTTAAGACTCATCATTTTCTTAAATAACACTACTTAAAAATAAATTTTGATATTTTTAACTTAAATCTCAGAGGAAACTCTTAAATAACATTACTTAAAAACGAATTTTGATATTTTTGACTTTTAATGTTAAAGGAAACTCTAATGTCTTAGCTAAAGATGTTAAATTGACAACGAACATTCAAGAACAATAGTCATGTGAGAGTTTGACATCCCTTATCAAAGGGTATCACAACAGACCGACATCATTTCTACCTGAAATTGGGTAGGATTTGACGCTTGTTAGGGAGATATGTCAGAAGACGTCAACTATGGTATTGTCTGATGTCCTTTAATGTTTGTTAGTGCTCTAGCAGACGTAACTAACAGACGTCAAATGCTTTTTTTTAATATTTCTTTTATATTTACCATTTACTAAAACATGAAAAACAAAAAAATTCCATCAAAACTTAGAAAATTTCCAACACATATTATATATCAAAACTAAAGCTATTAACAAAAATTGTAACTACAAACACTAATGCTATCAAAACTATCATTAAAATAAAACTAAAAATTTCATAATAAAAAGCTTGTCCTAAAAAATTTTCAAGCAAAATACTAATGCTACTGTGGATCCTAATCAAAATCTTTTCATTCATTACTATCAGGATCCTTTTCTCAAGTCCAGCGCAAAGAACTAACCCTTGAGGTTTGGTATGATCATAATAATGAAGAGTTTAAAGAGTGACAAGAAGCATAAAAGGAATAGCATAAGGTTTTCTCATACTTACATTTTGCCTATTCTAGTTTTTTTTCTCTTAGTTTGATTATAAAGAAGCTTATATATTCTTCTTTTCTTTAAGGTGAAAGCAATGTGGGACTTCACATAGCTTGGACTTAAAAGAAAGAAAAAGAAGAATAAATAAGTCTCTTCTCATTTTATTTGTTTGTATTGCAAGTTATCTTATGTATAGTTTTAGTTTTGATATTTAGACTAGTTAGGTAGGTTATATATCATTAGGAAGTTGTAGAATTAAGAGATGTGGGACTTAAAATAGCCTTGAGAGCTGCTGTCTAGACTTATAGGGATTAGATAAACTGCACTAGTTGTTAGATGTTTGTGTTTTCAAATGAGCGTTTAGGAAAACATTTAATAAAGAAAGCAATAACACAAGTATGGTTTGCTCCAACTTGAGTTTCGTCTAGTTCTTCCTTAAGACCTCTTAAGAGGTTCAACTAATCTTTTACAAAGGTTATAACAAATATCAATCACTTCTGGTTTACAAGTATTTTCAACCACTTCTGGTTTACCAAATATTATCAACCATTCTTGGTTACAACCCTAGACAAACTGTCTAAAATATTTAACTCCATTGAGTTAAACAATACACGTGTTTGAATTCACTTCTAAATCTACAAACACAATCAATGTGTTTTTGGTTTATAAGTACAAATTTAAATAACTCTCTAAGAGAGGATATATTCAATACAATCAAATATGAAAACTTCAAAAGACTTTTTCTCTTTAAAAGAAAGACTTACACGATGTAAGCTTAGAAGAAGAATAGCAACGTAATGATTCAAAGAATTGTTGTTATCATCTTTTCTTCTCTTCAGCGAGTGCTCTTTATATAGCCAAGAAAGATCCATTAGTCAAAGAGAGTTGACCTCCTTGAGAGTAGGTTTCGATTATGAAAATTTGTACTATTATGCATCTTGGAAAGAACAACATTGCTTTAGTAGTAAAAGTGTGTACGACTTTGGAAAAAGCATAAAGCTTTAAGGAAACATTCCCAGAATGTCTTCCTATTTCTTAACGTCTTTCTGATCCATGCGCAAAGCTTTTGAATAAAGCTTGGTATTGTCATTATATGCATAAATAAAGAGAACAAAAGCAAAACTACAAAGAAGTAAAGTACATGCATTTAATGTGCTTACGTTTAGAGAGCATTTAGGCATGATTCATAGTATAAGCGTTTAGCATAAGTCTGTGCTTTTAAAATAGTGTATACACAACGGTTAACATTGCTTGTCTTTAGATGCACTTTTTATTAAAACATAATTTTTATCCTTTATAACTTCAGAAACATCATTGTTTACCTTGTGTTTATAACATGTGTTTTAATATTCATTTCTCTTAGATGCTTTACTCATTGAGTGATATTTCGTTAAGGGTTCTATGTTAAACTTCAAACTCGAGTTGCTAGATAGTATAATCTATCTAAACAATCTTGTCTTAACAAAATCATCCTCAAAAGAATTGATTTCCACTGCTAATGGTGACACAACCTCTGTTGTTGGAAAAAGATCCTTAACTTTTACTAATAATTTTACTTTGAGTTCTGATTTAGTTGTTCCATCTCTATAATATAACCTTTTGTTTGTTTCTCAAATTATTACAACCTTAAATTGTATTCTTATTTTTTAGCCTAATTTTTATTTAAGGACATCAGACCACACAGACGATTGGTTATGGTGTTAAACAAGGAAGATTATACTACTTGGACTTGTTGTAGAAAGATTTTGGAAAGTTAAAAAACGCTTTAATGGTATAATTCTACCAAACAGAAAGAGGAAAATGAAATGTGGCTACGACATCATCGCCTGGGACATGCTTCATTTAGTTACTTGAAAAAATTGTTTCCTTTATTATTTGCAATTGATGTCTCCATTTTTCGTTGTGATGTATGTGAACAAGCAAAAAACCATCTTATTGCTTTTTCACTCGGTTTGAATAAAAGTCTTGTTCCTTTTATGCTTATACACTCAAATGTTTGAAGTCCTTATGAGATTTCTACTTTAAGAGGATCTGGTTGGTTTGTTACTTTCATAGATGACTGCACAAGAATGACTTGATTATGATTAATGTAGTCCAAAGGAGAAGTGAACTTTGATATTTCAAAAGTTTCACAACATGATTGAAACCCAATACAATGCAAAGGTTCAAGTTCTTTGTAGTCACAATGATGGTGAATACCACAGTCTAGGCCTCAAGAGATACTTGAAAATACATGGGATTATTCATCAAACTACTTGTCCTAATACACAACAACAAAACAGTGTTATTGAGTGAAAAAATTGACACTTACTAAAGGTAATACGTTCTTTATTATTAGAGACTCATATGCCTTTGTCTTATTGGGAAGAAACTCTTACCGTGACAACATATGTCATAAATTAGATCCCTTCTAGCTCTGATGAGTTTCAAAGGCCACTACAGGCTCTCATTAACAAAGTGGTTACCCTTGGTAGTATAGATTTTCCTTCCCATGTTTTTGGTTGCGTAGCATTTATTCACATTCAAAAGAATCCAAACAAATTGGCACCTCGAGCTTTAAGATGTGTGTTTCTTGAGTATGCTATGCACCAAAAGAGGTAACGCTTTTAACATCTTCCGTCTAAACGAATGTTTATAAGCATGAATGTTGTTTTCCATGAACAATGTATATCTCTTTAGAATCGAATCATTTTATAGAAAGGACACTGAAATTCTAATCATGCATCTCTACAAAAAGAATGTTGATAAAAAGATGAATCTACATTTAAATGATTAACAAGACAATATCTTCCCTTCAAAATTAGACAAGTGTAAGCAAGTGGTGACTCTATTACAACATTAAAGCTATACAACAAGGACACGGGCAAAGAAAGGAGGAGTTTTACAAATAGCACTTCCAACTTAAACCTAATTAAGGACTGTCATCATCTGAACTAAAATCATCTGTCCTCCTATTTGCAATTACTGGAGAAATTCTTTGACGAATTAAATCATGAGCAGGAGGAAGATTATCAGAGGAAGAAGGTTTTCTAGAATGATTAGGTGTTTCTTGCTTAGCACTTTTTGGTGCTGGCTTCTTTGGTGGTGCAAGTTGTATCTCCTTGCACACCTTATCCAACATTACTAAGAAATCGCGTACTATGTTAAATAATCTCAACCCTTCATCCTTCCCTGTATCCCCATGAAAGTAATCACCAGTGCTCTTCACCAGACCCATGATTTTCTTCTCCTCTTCTAGCAAACTTTTGACATCAGCCTCAGCTTTCTCTACGAAGCTCTTCACTGTCTCACAAAACCCTTTATCACCCTTCGTATTGCTCAACTCTTTGTTTACAAAGTCTCTTGTTTTTATCAGACCATGCCCTACTCTTGAAGTTGTTCCTACCAACCCATCAGCATCTAAAGCTGCTGCTTTCTTCACGCTTTCAAGTTCAGTGCTTAAATATGAAACCACTTGAAGACCAAGTTCGCGATAGTGGTCATCTGATTCAATCGAGACGTCCTCAAGAAGGTCATCTGTTTTTACGCTGGAGAAACTGTGATTCTCTTTTGCCATGCGTGCTGCTCTTATGCCCTCAGTGCGTACTATCTCTTGAACAACGAAGTGCAAGAGTGTGGTCTTCCCATCTACTCCTTTCACATCAGATAGTTTCAACAGTGTATCAAGTTTGAATGCTTGTGCACCACCACGAAATGTCCCATCGTTCATACGATTCCCAGTTTTCAGAACAGCTTCAAGAAGTTTCAGGAATAATCGACTACTTCTCAGCTTTTTACAAGCAACCTAACATCATTTGAAAAGTTAAAGGAAAATCAGAAGGGGGTTTGGTTTTCGTAGAGGAAAAGGTGGAATCTGGAAATCATACCTCTAAAATTGCAAAGGAATCTCGTGTACTGGTGAGATCCTCTTGAAGAGTACCCATGTAAATTAATGCTTCCATTCGTTTAAAAGAACAAGGAATGTCAACTATGGCTTTAAGGAACCTATCTGCAGGGGTGAGTTGGGCTAGATTACCACTGAAAACTCTAAGCTTAAGTTCTTCGTCCTGCGTCGGTGCCATCTTCAACAATGTTTGAAGGAATTCTGTGGGAAGCTCATTTCCTGATCAACCAAACAATGATTTAAAGATATTATGCTAGTAAAACTGTCGAGAATAAACTATTTTTGTTTTTCATTTCTCTTTATTGTTGTCATCTTTGATGAATCTAACATCAATATCATCATTGTAGAAAAAAGTGCAAGTAACAAAAGAGTGACCTTCAAGAAGTGCATCACAAACTTCATCTGCGGTGACATTCAATGCTTTTAATAGAATAGACAAATTCTGTGCTTTCTTTGCGTTAACGATTTGTATAAGTTGGGGAGTTGGGGAAGCCTCTTTTTTTGGTTGGCCCTTTCCTTTTTCCGTACTCGCAGAATTAAAGCCAAAGAGTGTCTCGATCATTTCTTCATTAAACCTATAAAACATTCATCATTAAGAATATGAATAATAAAAAGGAAATTGAAGTTTAGGAGAAAGAGATGTTGGGGATGTATACTACTCACTGGAACGATCCTGCTTTGAGTTGATTCCATACCATTGCTTGATCGTTAGCTTGAACCTTATCCCAGAAGAAAGGCTTTAACTTAGTTTTAGGAACATACCCTTCACCTTCGTAATCGGCTTCCTCGACAACCTTTGGATTGGAAGGAGCTCTTGCATGACCTGCACCACCACCTGGCGGTGGAGGAGGTCTAGGACCAGCACCAGGAGGACCAGGCTTGGCTCTAAATGGAGGTGGTGGTGGAGCTCTAGGGCCTTTTCCAGGAGGAGGGGGTGGTGCTCTAGGGCCAGGGCCGTGGCCAGGAGGTGGAGGAGGTGGAGGACCAGCACCGGTAGGCTTTGGTGGTGCACGAGGAGGAGGAGGAGGAGGTGGTGCAGAATTAGAAGTAGAAGGAGGAGATGGAGGAGGTGGAGGAGGTGGAGGAGGTGGAGGAGGTGGAGAAGGAGCAAGATCTGGTCTTCCAGGTGGAGGTTTCAGAGGAAGAAGATCAGACCTTCCAGGAGGAGGAGGAAGAAGATCAGGCCTTCCAGGAGGAGGTTTCAAAGGAAGCAATCCATTATTTGACACTGCTCTCCCAGGAGGAGGTTTTAGTTCAAATGATGCTCTCACAGAACAACTACCAACTTCTCCCGATTCACTTTCATTCAACGACACAGAGTTTCTCTTCTCATCAACTGATCGAATACTCGACGACTGAATACCGATTTCTCCTTCTTTCATTGAGCTTTTGAATTGAATATTACTGTTCGAAGAAGAACCTGTAACATTCAACTACATATTGTCAAGATTATAGTGCAGGTAATATATATAAATATATATACATATCGCTTCAAGAATGAAACTTTTGTATTACCAACTGAGTAGTCATTCATGCTCATGCTTAGAAGGGGTCTCTCATCATTTTGGCTAACTTGTCCACTCCCACAACATCTATAACAACATAAAATGACAAATACCACAGCTACAACTGCTACCACTAGAGGTATTGCCATGCTAGTTCCGGATGCTTTTGTATCTTCTTTAACTTTAATGCTTATATGTAATTCGTGTTGCTTGTTCGCTGTTTCTGATAGTTGCTTTGGAAAAATTTGACCCAGATATCTTCTAGATGAAGGTGACGCCGGCATGTATGTTGAATGCCAGATCTTAGAGGCATCCTCTTCCTTCAGATGGTTTACCGTATCCTCAGTTAACAGTCCAGATGAAGGATCAAATAATTGTCTGATGAATTCTTCTTCAGTTTTTTTCTCTTCACTGCTCACTACGACCAAAATATGAAAAACCAAAATGCTGCAAAAGATAACCTTTATGATACCCATTTCAAAGTGCTTCATCTTCTTCGTATCACATCAAGCTCTAAACCAACAAGTATGCAGGTTTCCATTGTTTTCGCAATCAAAATTATTTTTCATCATACACCGTTAACCCGTTACGATGATCACTGCCTTGTCAACACAAATTCCAAACCAAATATGTTGTAACTTGCACAATTCTAGGATCATACATAATGAACCAAAGCAAATCCACCTCTTTCTATCTTCTCAAAAATTCCCGATTTCTTATCAAATTGGACCTTCAACAGCTTGTTATAATAATTATAATAACAAGAAATGCAAATTCAACATCCTGCAATGGATCTTGCACATGGCTGATTCATCAAATTCAACGCAATTACAAACGAAAAAGAAAATTTAAGAAATGATCGTTTGTATTCTTTGCGTGTGATAATCAAAGGAAAGCAAACAAAAAAAAACACGTGCTAGCAGATCAATGCAAATAGACCGTGTTCTTGTTATTGTTGATAATGAAACATGGGAGAATGTAACGACAACCTTTGTTGCTGTAATAAGGATGAGTTATAGTATGAAGTTGATGAATGAGATTTTGTGCTTTCTGGGTTACGATGCGATGATGAAAAATTTGTTGGCGCCAGAAACCCTAGCACAAAGGGCCGTCCTATCAATTTTTCTGGATTAGGACATTGGCGCCTACTGTCCAACACAAATTCTCCTTTTTATGTTTCTTTCTCTTTCTCTCTCTGTTTTTCTTCTTCATTTTTTTTTCCAATTTTTGTTCTTACCATTTTCTAATTTTGTGGAAATTACATCAAAATTTAAGAGCCATTGTAAAATCACGCATTTCTTATTGATTTTACAATAATCTATAGAATACATAAATTAAATAAATATTGATTAGCTATAGCTATAAACTTTATACCTTATTAACCTTATATTTTTAATTGGTGTATGTGCAATTCACAATGCATTAAGAAATACATTTCAAAATTAAAAGGTCAGACAAAAATGAAAAAACAAGAACTGGATTGATAGTATGAAGTGGTGGCATATCTTTAATATTTAACCACCTTATAGGGTGAAATGGTTATAATTGTTTTAAAATATTTTATTTTTATTTTTAATATATGATATCGTCATCGTATAATTGTAATGTTTAACTTCTAAATTATATGAATCATGTATTTATTTTGTATATAAGCTATAAAAATTCTTATACATGTATTCTTTTAAATTATATTAATTTTTACTCATCATATAATTGATTAATTATGTTTTGGGTACTAGAAATATATTCGATTTTTTATTTGTTTAATTCCTATGAAATGTAAACATATTTTTGTATTAGACTGAAAAATGACCTCACTAACTAATTTTTGTGGAGGTAATAAAGGAAAATAAGAGTTATTTGAACAATAATTTTTTTGTGATTTCTTAAATAATATATTTAGGGGTTTGTTAGTTCCATACGGATTAATATGGGAACTGTCACAGTACCATAAATTATATATCTCAAGTAAGTGTAAATGTGTGTTTGATTTAGTGCAGATTAAATTAAAATTTTAATTAATGTAATTTTAAATAAATGATATTTAATTTCATTGCGAAAAATTGATTTTTAAGTTCAGGGTTACTTTTAAGTTAAAACAACCTTCAATAACATTTAAGCTGAATAAATTTTTATACTAAATATCACTAACAACTTATTTTTTAAATAACATTATTCAAATGTAAATGAATGTATGTAAAAACTAACTTCAATAAGAATGCAATTTATAAAAGAAAAACATTAATGACACAAAAAAATGCACATGAATAATAGTTAATATATATTTTAAAAAAGTAAAAATAATAGATAATAAGAGAAAAAAAATAAAAAAGTAAATAATAAATATAGATAAAACAAAAGTGTGTGTATATATATATAATTATTCTTTAGAAAGTGCATTTAGAAATATTTATGAAATACACACAAAAAAGAAGAAAAAGTGTTCCACAAGAGACAAATAAACCAAACCCTTTTATCCCTGGTATGATTTTTTAAAGAACAATCTTATTTGAACATATACATACATAATAAATGTCAAACATCTCCTTAAAAATGGTAATGCACCACTCTACCAAAACAATTCTCTTATCCTATGCTCTGATTGAACATGTTCTTGGTTTCCAAAATGCTGAATTTTTGAGGTAGCTGGTTGAAGTTGGTTTATCCTAACTCAAAAGGTAATATGATAACTGACAATGTTATCACCACCGCCCTAAGGACCCCACCGTCCAAAGTGCCTTCACTATCTGATGTGCTGCAAATTCTAACATCCATCAAGTAGATTCCAACACTGTCTTTGCCAAAAAAGCTACTCCATCAGATGCCCCATGAATGATTACCAATGCTCCACAAGTCAAAAGTTTTCAAAAATGCATCATATTTATATGCATGTATAACATTTTTGATATACACCCTCTTTTTATTAAATTATGTTTCACAGATATAGTTAGAAATTATCTTAAAATGTATATAAGAGTGGTTGGTTTAAGTACTTCAACAAAGAAAAATGGATGAAAGGGTATGTCACCAACTGTTTGTGGAATTTTCTCTGATACACTTTTTTTTTTTTTTTTGTAGAGATGCTCATATGGATTGAGGATGTGCATCGAGACAACACACATCCACTCCTAACAAGGCATGAAAAATCAAGATTCCTTCCACACAACTTTTCTGTGTGGATGAAGAATCTGAAGTTAATGCTATGAATTTGGTTGATAACACAATTGAGAGGTTGGAAAGGACTTATTTTCTTTTGAGAAGATTAAACAAGTGAATAGGATTAGTAGAAAGTTTCATAATGACACTTGCAACAGTTTAACTTTGTGATGATGAGCTAGAAAAATGGCAACTGCTTCTTTATCTGCTGTTGTTAAAACATGTCACCATGGCAAAGTCCTTTGTCTTGATTTTATCATATGCATGCACTCTGCAACAAGATAGCATCAATTCTTCATGCCTGGCACGTGACAAACAGGTAAATAAGCCAGTTGCAAAGTATCTAGGCAGAGAAAAAGAGCAAGAAAGTTTATGCTTGTCGGTGCTCAATCTTTGTATTCAGTAATCTTCAGTTGGAGTTTACACAGGACAGAAAATGTACATATACGTTCATGATTCATTGAATAGATCAAAGCATGCCCCACTCTAGCTCAGTGATTGGAAAACTCTTGCCAGAGTAATAATATGATTTGTACAGCTTAAGATAGAACATGAAAGTTGAATCCCTTGCATTCATGTAACAACCAGAAAGGTTGAAGATATTGCATGTTTGGGAACTACTTTTTCTTAAAAAGTTGAAAAAGATAATGATTATTTCTTCGAAATAAGCTCAGAGAACCAGTAATGATGGGTAGTAAATAATTCAGTAGCCACTTAAAAGAATGACTGAGGTTGCATAAACATTATATATTATAATGAACTTAATTAAGCCAAAAATCATTCCTATAAGGGTTCACAGATTCTGCTAGAGCATCTATCAGTTGTCAGAGGACTTTGACTTGATTGGTATCCCTTTCCATTTTTCACATCTTGTGTTAGACAGCCAAAATGCATAGGGATACCACATATCCTTTAGCTATACGCAATATGCCTGACATGGTTTCTCTTTTGATGGAAGAAAAATTTAGAAAAGAAAATATTCCTTCCTTGCTTTACAGCCCCCAAATATGCCAAAGGAATTTGTTCTGTGTTTCATTAGATGGCTTCTCTTACACTATAAGAGAAAGGCAACAAAACTCTCTCTTCACCAGAGACTCACAATTATTCAGTTTTCCTAGCATAGATGACTAGTTCTAACAAGAGGCTTGAGGTTCAAACAGAAGATCAAACTCCACATAAATGGTGTGTTTCACTGGGAGAAGAGCCTTTCAAAAGATTCTTCAGCCAGACTAATCCAACAGTGCACAAGGTTTTTGGTGATGGATCACTTTTCAGTCCACTGTTGTTTGGCAAGTTCTTTGATCCTTCTGATGCCTTCCCTCTATGGGAGTTTGAGTCAGATGTATTGTTATCTCATTTAAGGAGCTCCAGCCAAAGCACTGTCGATTGGTGTCAGACAGCCGAAGGCTACATATTAAAAGCAGAAAAACCGGGTAAGGCAAACAGCTTTTTAGTTACCCTTATATTGTAAACTGAATATATGTTAAACAAATTATGCTACAATGAAACTGCCCCATCATTTAATAGATCTGAAAGACAAAATAGGATCTCAGAACTGGAGGAACTATATAAAATTTGCAAGCACCTAAGGAGAGAGAGCCTTTACCTTGCATCAAGAATTTTCTTTTCTTGTACCAATGGGTAGTAACCTATGAATAAATAATATAGATTCTAACAGTGTAACACTGTCACCTAACTATATCTAATCACAAACTATCATGTATGAGTATGGTTTCGATTAGTTGATAGTGCAAACTGATGGATCTTTTAAAGTTGAGTTAAGGATGATGTCAATCTTTTATTATGAGATTAAACTCAGGTTTTGTTGGTGTTGAAACTTTCCAATGAATTTTCCTTCAAAAGATCCATCACAAACTTATATCAACTCATATCAATATGTTTATTAAAATCATACCAAATAACGAAATAAATGAACTTGAGCAGATTGGAGTTGATGGGGCCAAGTTTCCATAGATTCAATTAAGAAAAGTGCTTAACTAGACAAAATTTCTGTGACACCAGTGGTTTGTCAAAACAGGAACTGGAAAAAATAACATTCAAGTCGTTGTTGATAAGGGGAAGGTTGTGGAAATTAGTGGACCGTGGAAGCAGCAAAGAGACTCAAAGGCCCATGACTGGAGGTGTGGCCATTGGTGGGAACATGGATATGTGAGAAGGCTTCAGATGCCAGAGGATGCAGATTGGAAGAATATAGAAGCATACATACATAATGACATATACTTAGAAATACGTATTCCAAAGAGCAAACAGGGTCGTGATCTTCCTCAGGGAAAGGATGTGGCTTGAACATGCAGAATCA